TCAAGTGGATTGGCTACCTTACTTACCCGAATGAGCGAAATACCCTCAATATGCGGTCAGGTCGTAAATTTAGAACCCCTTTTTTCACGGGAGGGGGAGAGTAGGGGATAATCCGGATCCTGCTCTTGAGAAAATGTGGGGGTCATTTACACATGTAACTTCTCTACATTCAGTTTTATACAGAGCAAAATACAAATTGAATTCTTCGAATGAATGCAATTTTGTACAATGAAAATGTATTACTTAACGATAAACTGCAAGATAAATAACATCTTTTTTAAAACCATAGGTGTAGAAAGACAGATATTTGTTACACAAATGAATTTGTAGTAAATATTGAGTTTTTCATTTCGAATGCTATGTTCCATGTATGCGAAGTAGCTGAGTATGTGAGATAATAGTCATAACCGAATGGCTTTCAACCTTTTCACGGCTAAGGACTGTTTCTCAATTACATTGTGGTCGCTACTTTTTAGTTAATTTTCTAATGACATATAAGCAATAACTGTTTTTATTTGAGACTTATGAATAAAATAACGCAAACTAGACTGCAGAAAATTCTTACGAATGAAGTTAAATAATACTGAAAAATACATTATTGATGTACTTTTGTGTTTTATATGTAGTAGTATTAACTACTACTATAATCCTTAAATTATATATATCTATGTATAGGTATATATAAATGGAAACAAAAATAGAACAAGGTATAAAATATCTTTATTATACAATGTTCATTACCATACGTATATTTACGTAATATCAATATAAATAGTTAGTTAGGTTTTGTACATATATAATTTATTTTTATATTTTGTATTAGATTCAGTATTGTACAGTCAAAAGTCGTTAATTTGGACACCCATAATTCAGAATGATCTATAATCCGGACATCAAAACTAAAAACTTTCTGCGCATGCGCCGCGTTGACACATGCGCATAGGCGTTTACGCGTGCGCGTAAGACCTTTTACGACTGCGCATATGAGTGTGCGCAAGTGCAGAATACGTTTTCGCGTGCGCGTTTTATGTACAATGGACGTATAAGCTAAAATTATCTAATTATCTATTTCAGTTAATGTTGATGATTGCGTGGTTCCTTAATTTTCGAATTGGATCCGGCTTATTATTTTTTGCAGACTAAGACCAATTTTATAAAAGTAAGCTTAAACTTTCGATTATATCAAATAGAATTTCCGATATATATTCGTTAATATGTAAAGGATCTAAAGCGAAAGTATGTTTTGAAATCCGAAATCTGTTTATCAATTTCACCAGGGCAGATGTTTTTATTTTATTTGGCTTATAATTCCTTACCAAATGTAGTATTTCATCTCGATATGCTCCGTCTTTGATATGATTTAAAACAAGTTCTTCCTCATTATAATTCGCTTTCGATAGCGAAGAAAGTGACAGAGGTTATTGAAAACGAAAAAATTTCGATTGACAAATTAATCGGTGTTCTAGACACAGCAATTATAGGACTTGAACAGCGGAACTTTGTAACTGAACAAGAAATTATGTCTGTTTAATAGAATTAAAGAGAAAGTTCACATGAAATGAAAAACTTAAACAACTTACATTGAAAGAAATGTTTAATAAAGTAAACAAATAAATATTAAGCTTTTTGTTTATGCAAATTTTGATACCCTTTAGATCATAATTGTTCTTTATTTCATAAATTACGGTTTCATATTTTTAATTTTAGAATTTCTGCATGCCATCTTACGAGATTTAAACTGATGATCTATAATCCGGAAAAATCGATAATCCGGACGAGTCCGGATTAACGACTTTTGACTGTATACGTATCTGAAGTTTAATTTGTTTTCTTTTTGGGTAAGTGAGAAAGAATTGTTAGGGCCTTCATAGGGATTACATTATATACAATCAGTTAGGATCCGACTTTTCCTTTCTTTTAATCATTATATATATTGAAATACTACTTGATAAGTATACATAAAATATAGCAGTTTTTTAAGCTACTTATTTATATATCTATTGTTTGATCTGGTTTGTTTGATTATAGCAAAGCATTCGACGGTTATTTGCCTAAGGGTAAGGGTGCCTTGTGGAGAACTTTCTAAGCAAAATTGACTCTTATGCACGTTACATGTGGGGAAAACCTCGAAAACGCCAATACAGCCATCCCCTTCGATCAGGATTCGAACCCCGGATCGACCTGCCAGAGTTCAACGACTTTACAGCTCAGTCGCTAGTGAGCCCCCCCACACACATACATTAAATAGTATTTACATGTCATTTATAAAGTATAATTGAGTGCAATTTAATCATAAAGAGTTAGAAAATATTCTACGGAATTACTTCACTTCGTAGACTTTTTGTTAAGCTTCACCATATTTCTTAAAGAGAATCTGAATGCTAGTTCCATTCCCAAGCTGTTTATGTACCTTATTTGAATTATATTTAGAAAATTATTTCACTTGGTTATAGCTGAAAATACAGTTTTTTTATTGAAGAATTTAAGGGTAAGAAGAGAATTATGCCCTTTTCTAATTATTCTTGAAGCATTTAATTTTTTTTTTTTAAAAAGCGCACATTAATACGGATCACTTAACTAAAGTGCTCGATACAGGACAGATTAATTAGCTACTAAATTTTGATTTTCGTTGAGTAAAAATGAATTCATCTGCATTCTATAAGAAAGTAAATATTCAAAAAATGTTTTCCCCCCCCTATTCTCGCAGTCACAATATTTTTCTTAAATATTCAGCTAATTCATATTCAAATATTCCAATCCATTGCAATAAGTAATAAATCGATACAGTAAATAAATTGCCCTATTGCATACATTTGAAATACTTATTCTCGTAATAATAGATACGTATGTGTTATTCTCTTCGTAATTTTCAGTATATATATTTATAATTAGAAATCTTTTGAAAGCAGCATCAAACAGCTGTCAAAGTTATATTTTAAAATTATTATTTAGAAATGCGCTTATAATGGTTTTTATATTTACGAAAGATACTTCCCGTTTACTCAGGCTCACTGTATTTAAGTCGATAGGACCAATTGAATGGAAAGATCGATTTTGTTAATTCATTTCCAAGTTTCAAATCGGATGAATGGACTAGCGAATAAAATGGTACATTAAAATACGGTCAAAGGTTTCATACTTTATCTTATGAAAACAAAATATCAGAATCTAATTAAATGTTTCACTTATTAGAAAAATACAAAATATAAATATTTGTGAATAAAAAGAAATTATCTTTAAAAAAATAAAAGAATTACAAAATATTGCAGAAATTACATAAAATAGCGAATAAACTTATTCGGCACAAGCTTGCTAAATGTAAAACAGATTGTACAGTCAGAAAGCTCGCCTTGTCACACTGTTCATCGGGTTTAAAGATTATTCAGACTAACGTGCGAAGTTCAGTGAATAACTTGTATTTTCCTTTAAATGTATAAACTAGCCAAAAAAATTGAGCACCTGACAATTAGATGCAAATTTAACAGATGGATTGAAGGAAACCTACTGCAACGTACCACTTTGTGTAAGCATTTTCGTGGATTTCCTTAAGGTATGTAAATATGAGCCCATTTTCCTTAGAAAATTCTCCATGAAATCATGCCTAGCCAACCCTCATATGTTTTGCCATATTCAAACCAAAATCACTCTTAAGATGATTAATTAATTAGTTTTACCTCATATGTTTTGCCATATTCAAACCAAAATCACTCTTAAGATGATTAATTAATTAGTTTTAAGTTAGATGATACGAAGCTTTTCAAAAACTAGGATGCTTTCCGTAAACAATTAGTATTAATAAGCGCTGTTCAACTGGAATTGGATTGGATTATTTGTTTATAGCAGTGCTTTTCAGCCGACTTACATGTACCTGTATGTATTGCTCAGAGGGGGTGGAAGGAAATTCCTGAACGAAAACAATGTAATAATGAAATGTTAATAAACAAATAAATATAACTTTTTGTATCTTATGTAATTTGTCTCCATTCTGATACCATGTGCATCCATTATTTCTGATATACTGATACTGAATGAAACCTAAAAACACTTTTTTTTAAAAATATATCTCCCCTTATGATCCCCGACACAGCCATTTACCTTCCCCTTCCGTAATTAACGTCAGTCTCCTGCTCTTGACCACATTTGCCAAGCCACCGAATGAGCATCCGTAGGACGCCTTATGGCGCTGAATTTCCGTGCGGCAATTTCCTCTCCCAAGCCTTTCAGGATTTGAAAAGTGCACTGGTGTGCAGTTCCACAAGACTTGATCAACACATCTATCAAATCAAGATGTGAGATATGCATATCTATCCAAGGTGACCATATACCACATAAAAAAATTAATTTTCACAAGAGGCGACATAATTTTTTCATAAATTTGGTTTCAATTTCAATATTTCAGAAATAATCAACTGACAAAAACTGAAATTTATGTTAACTTATGCCTTTGTATAAATTTATACTAATAATTTTTCATTAAATATCAGTTATGCTTTCTATCATTATCCTTTAATTTTAATGACTAGTGTACATTGGGTACTTCCTTATTACAATGGTCCTCAAAATTTAATTGCTAATCAATCAAAATGAAACACATATCAAGGTATAAAAACACCTGCCCAATTATGCCTAATTAATGCATTTATGACATGCAATTAGATTTTGCAGCAATGCTTATGTTTGGCTTTAAGTGGTACCCTGTTAAAAATAGGAAATATCCCCTCTTATTCCAGATCCACATGACTTCCTAGCATGTACCTAGAAAAAGAAATCTCATTTAAAATTAGCTATTAAGCTGAACCCGACAGACTTGGGAAACAAAATGAAACAGCACCTATACACACGAATAATATATAATTTAGGTTCATTGGTTCATTCAAAATTGTCAATGACATTATTTAACAAACAAATGTTAAGGTTTGTAAATTAGTTACTAATGACTATTACTTTTAACACACGAAACACGGCTATTAAGATTATAAGGAAACAGAAAATGATCATACCTCTTACACATGGCATAATTGCTCTCTGCTGAATAGCTGATGGCTTCTCAAAACCGTAAGCATAGATGCCACGCAGAAGTGGCTCATGTAATTGCATATTATCAAAATTATCAATAACTTCTTCCCAATTGCTCTGAAATAAGGTTTAAGTATTCTTTTTTTAGTTTATAACAGAAAAAAACTAAACTTAATATACATAAAAATATTTCAATATATTACAGTATTCGCAAGTATCATAAAACAATACTTTTAAAAAGTACTGTGTTATAATGCTTACGAATTTAATAATCAGAAACATAGCATAATATAAACTGAAAGAATATACTGAAACTGAAAGAATTAGTTTTAAGTTAGATGATACGAAGCTTTTCAAAAACTAGGATGCTTTCCGTAAATAATTAGTATTAATAAGCGCTGTTCAACTGGAATTGGATTGGATTATTTGTTTATAGCAGTGCTTTTCAGCCAACTTACATGTACCTGTATGTATTGCTCAGAGGGGGTGGAAGGAAATTCCTGAACGAAAACAATGTAATAATGAAATGTTAATAAACAAATAAATATAACTTTTTGTATCTTATGTAATTTGTCTCCATTCTGATACCATGTGCATCCATTATTTCTGATATACTGATACTGAATGAAACCTAAAAACACTTTTTTTAAAAAATATATCTCCCCTTATGATCCCCGACACAGCCATTTACCTTCCCCTTCCGTAATTAACGTCAGTCTCCTGCTCTTGACCGCATTTGCCAAGCCACCGAATGAGCATGCATATTGGTTGATTAATTATAGCAAAGTATTTATACATCAGCTGCTACTTACACTTTCATTGAAGTTGACCTATTTATAACACAGTTGAACAACCCTTCAATATGGTGAAGAAAAGGTATAAAATAAATATGCTGCCTTACCAAAACTACACAGTACTTTACAGTTAAGGCCATACCACTTAACATTTTCTGAGCTTGTTTCAGCATGAGGTGTTTCAAGTTTAGTTTCTATTCTGGATGAATTCTTTACTGCAACAGATTCCATAACTGGGGATTTGTCAACAGATAAAGAAGTCACTAAGGTATTCCATTAAAAAAGAGATGTCATTCAGGAAAAAAGACTGAATAACCACCCCATGACATTAAAATTTAACTCAAAACTGAAATGACTTTGCAGCATTCATTCATGCCATGCAGGAAAAGTCCAAATACAGTAGTGGTTTGTTGGATCCTGTATTTCTTTCATTATCATACTTCATGTCTCAAAAGTTACTGCAAACCAAAGCTTGCTTCATACAAATCGTAATGAAATGGTTGAATGGAAAAGTCACATACGAGATACGAGCACAAATTGCTTGTGGTCTCAGCTTATCATTAAAATTGACTAATATAACAAACTGGGAGAACTGATAAAAACTTAGTCCCATAGTAAATACACACATACAAAAAATAAGCGAGTTTTATAATGATTTTTGTATATTTCTGTCAGGAAATTAAAAATTGTTCCTTGTTGCTGTTTCTGATCATTCTGTTTTATGTACACTGGTTATCGTAAATTAAGGAAAAACCACAAAAATAGCAATAACTCCCTCAAAAATAAGCCAAACCGTGTAAAATTTGAATATGTTGCCAAGTAAAAGTAGCTGAGTAAAATTATGTAATAATATGCAAATTAGTGCTGCTGCACTCGGAATACGTCATCTGCGAGGAGAATAAAAGTCCATGTTTGAGTGCAAGCCCACATATTTCACTGTGATAGTGACATCAGAAATCTGAGATAGCCAATTCATAACAATGACCTCCAGGCATCATTTGCCTGCAGAACTACGATGGAGAGCCATTGGGAGACTAGAGGCAGGATAAAAGTCAAACAGAAGTGGCCAGATGGCTAAATGCGAGTCCTGTGGTTCATATACTTTGGAGGCGATTTCAAACCACAGATTCGGCCTCTAGGAGGTTCAGCCAAGGACGGCCAACTGCTACGACGAGCACCGATGACGGATATTATGTGCACGCAGGAATAGAACACCACTACTCCAACTCTTCTTAGATCCTCCCTTGCTGCAGCCACCGGAAGGTTGGTGTCAACTGTGCGTAGAAGGCTTCACAAAGGTGGTCTATATACGAGACAACCAGCCATTTGTGTGCCACTCACGTCACGCCATAGGAGGGACCGTTTGCAGTGGGCACAACAACATGTCCACTGGACACCTGATCAATGTGGAGCTGTTCTCTTTACGAATGAATCAAGGTTTAGCTTCCTAAATGCGATAGTACAAGTACTATTGATTATGGTTATGGAGAGAACCTGGAACCCGTTATCATCCGTGAAAGAGATGCATAGGAAGAGGCAGTATCCGTGTTTGGGGTGGCATCTCTTTGGGTGAACGCACGGACTTACATGTTTTTCCAAGGGACTCATGTTTATAGAGATGACATCCTTGATGCTTATGTGCGTCCATACGCCGGGGCAATAGGCAATGCTTTCCTGTTACAGGAAGACAATGCAAGACCACACAGGGCTCGCATCGTATATGATTATCTTCAACAGGAAACAATTATGTACATGGAGTGGCCAGCTCGATCCCCGGACTTGAGCATGTTTGGGATGATTTAAAGAGACATCTGTCTAGCTGCTCTCAGTCTGCCTCCTCAGACCCTTGCCGCGCTTGCAACAGCTATGGCTCTCGCTTCCTATGGAACTGATAGACAGCATAACTGAAAGTATCACACATCACAGTATGTGTTGTATTGGTTCTACAGGCGACCCTATTCCCTATTGAAGTTACTTTCCCCTAGCAAACTGACATCTTCAATTTGTTCATTTTATACATGTGCTAATTTATATACTACCATAATTGTCTGGTAATTTATTTTTAAGTTATTTGATACCTTATTATGTGTTGTATATTGTGGGTAAGTTAACGTTAAATTCTACATGTAACTTTTTCAGTAATCATGATTTTTCCTTAATTTATGATAACCAGTGTAGTATCAAGCCAAAGGCATGGGAGAGAAACCAAAATGTGTGATGTGGCTTTAATGAAAAAGTACCAACTATACTCATTTTAGTCAGCCTGACAGTTCTTCCAAGAAATTACATGTGCTTAGTTAGTTTCTAATAGCATTTAGTAATTAAACTAGCAGATGTCATCCAAATAAAGTTAAATAAATCTTACATGGATATATATCTTGAGAAATTTCAGAAAATTAATCTGTACAAAAAGCACTTATTGATTACGTATGGTTACTGATTTTGAGATATTAAAAATTTGCAAATGCATGTCAGTATGCATAATTTTTTTCTTTGTCAAAAGACTTAATATTTCATGAGGCTGCATTTATGCTTTTCACTCTTTGTTTTATGCAGTCGTTCCCATACTGCTGATTCATAACTGCAGTCCTGCAAAATCTCATTTTGAATGATTCTTTAACACTAAGTGCAAGATGCATCAGAATTTAGAAGGGCACTTGTAGCGAAAATGAGGAAAGCAGAAACTTTCAAATGCAGAGAGAGGCTCTAGGCTGCAGAATTTAAAACAACAAAATGCATCGCATTAGCCCCGCTCCAACCAAATCATTCAAGCATTGAAAATCTGATCACTGCCAACATCAATCAATGCACTGTTATTGAACACAAAAGGACTTCCTAGCCAGCCAATGTTTGAAACTGGCATGCAGGAATCTTGTTAGTTCCAAGAAAAAATGTATTTACAGCACATCTGCTTCCTTTTGTTATCATAATCTAGATTCCTAGACCTAGTGAGACAAGGATTTATTTACATTTTTATTTCATTTTCTTCTTTTGACCGGTGGTCCAGATATTGGATGTCTGGATTTCAGTCTATATTCCACATCTGAAAATTATTATTTACCTTCACTGTTAAAACATAAAACACACCAAAAATAAAATTTTGATTTCTAAATTATGATGCACAAAAAAAGGCTAATGTTTTTCAAAAAATTTTTTAAATTGCATGACAGGGGGAAGAAATTCACTTACTTCAATAATTCCATTTGTTTCCATTCCTGGTGGGCCATCATAATCACGGTCTCTTTCACCATTGCGTTCATAATCTGGACCATTTCTGTGAAATTTCAATAACATATATATATGAATGTATTATTACACATATAGGTATTAATTAATTTCCTATTATTAACACATATAGGTATTAATTATTGCCTATTATTAATATAGGTATTAATAATAGGCCTTGTAATATAATTCAATAAGATACTTTTTCTTTAATTATTCAAGACATTTCATAAATCTGAATATAAATAAGACATTCTTAATTTCTAAACTTACTTTTGTACAGTCTTAAAATTAACCTGTTTCCTAAACATTATCCAAGAAATAAAATTTAAAACATCTTAAGTTACTTTTGCAGAACCTACATATTTCCAAACACCTGCAAAATGGCAATAATTTATTTTGGTGATGCCATCAACATACTTCCTACATGCAACAACTATGTACATTACTCTTCTTTTTATGTCCTATTTGTTGTAGAGCTGAGTTTTAGAATTTAATGCTGTTTTAGGATGTAACTAGAACTGAAATTCATTAGTTTCCAATAAGACAAAAGAAAACAGGTGAAGCAAGACAAGCTCATGTTTACGATAATAGAAAGACTATCTTTACCTCCAAATGGACAGCAAAAATGTCTTTTAATGATAGTGTTTTAGCATATTCCAAAACACAATTTCCTTTCTACTGCATGGATGGTATAATTTTGATTAATACCTTTAGATTTCTCTAGAAACCATAAGATTTTTGCCAGATAAAACTTTGTAAAATTGTATTTTAAGAATACTCCTCAGAATAGACCGCACACTGATTCTTAAACAGTTATGGACATTACTTACATCACATTATAAATTGGTATTTCTGAAAATATTTCACATCTGCATATGGCTGCAATTCATCACAACTCATATGCACACCAGGAGGTTCATGCTGTACAGCAACACCATGTCAAAGGAACTTGCTTTATAATGCATGGTTCAAGTTACTCAACTATTTGTAATTCAATTCAGATAAGAAATGCAGGGTGTTTCATATTGAATGGGACAAAAAGAATAGCATACTGCAAATTCAACAACTTATTTCTGATTTATTAAGCAAAAACAAATTAATCCTGAAAATACAATTATACAAAGTTTTACTTGGCAAAAACAAAAAAATCTTATGGTTTCTACGGAGATCTACAGGCACTGTTACTTAAAATTATGCTATCTACGCAGTAGAAAGGATAGTTTTGGAATATGCCAAAACACCATCTTTTAAAACATTTTTGCACACAAAATTTGGTAAAGTATCGCATCATCAAAATATCAAATGGGTAAAACAGTTTCAGGACACGCGCTGATTACTACAATTATAGAAGCTTAATTAAGCAACAGCAAAAAATCTTAGTGTTTTTAGAGATCTAGAAGCACTGTTACAACCCCTCTGGCTGATTATCCCCTTCCTTTATTGAGGAAGCGCATCCCGTTCCCCCCCATTTAAACATTGAAATAAATTGCATACAATATTAGGCATTTAGTTTACATTCAGGCCAACAGATATCATTAGTTGTCCACTAAATTGTGGCATTTGAAAGTACATGGTATTAGCACTCAAACTTCACTTTTTGCCGCTTTTTTCTTACAAAAATGGCTGCTAGAAAACGTTCAGCGATTATTTTGATTATTTAATTAAATTATTGAATTATTAATTAGATTTGTAGTTTTCCCTGTTTCGTACTCTACCATATCAAACTGCATTTCTAAGGTATTTTTCCCTCAGCACTTTTTTTTCTTAAATTTTATGCATTTTACTTTTTTATATTATGCAATAAATAGAAATTAACTTTAATTTTCAACTCAAATTGATTTTCTGGCAACTTACTTTCTCATGATTAAAATCTATATAAAAATATTTTCTAAAGAAAACATCTTTCAATTCTCCAATATATATAGATTTAAAATATGCCCCCCCTCCAAATAATTTTTTGGAAGCCACTTCGGTTCACAAATCAAGCAGTCAGAGGATTAATCAAAATTATGCCATCCATGCGGTAAAAAACATACCATGTTTTGAGAGATAACGAAACACCATCACTCAGACATTTTTGCAAGAAATTGGTAAAGAACCACCACATGTCATATTATCAAAGTGTAAATAAAACAGTTTCAAGACATGGGCTGCTCGTGTAAGAAAACCAGGCCAGGATGACAGCCCAAACCTGAGTGGTTGAAAAAATTTGTAAAATCTTTTATAAAGCCCCACAAAATTAAGGCGCCATGCGAGTTCTGAACTTCATCTGCCCGTGGCACATGTTATGGAAATGTCAACAATTCCGACCATACACCTTCCAGATGGTGCAAACATCAGATGAATTTACATTTCTGGTAAAATTAATCACCATAATTTATGATTTTGGGGATTCACGACGTAAGCACGTCTATCATTCTGGCCATACACCTTTCAGATGGTGAAAATATCAGATGAATTCACATTTCTGGTAAAATTAATCACTATAATTTATGATATGGGGGCACTGAAATGTAATGGGACATGAGCATGATTCTCCAAAGGTGAAGGTTTTCTGCACCATTTTCAACATCTGTGTATTTAGTCCTTCACCCCGAGGAAAAAATCATCTGACAAGTGCATTTATCAAGGTAATGGTTGTTTCCTCAGCTGGAGAAATTGGTTGATTTCACGCTGGAACAAAACACTACTTCACCACACTAGCATAAAAACACATACCAATAACTGAACGATAGTCTACCCCACTGCTGGGTCAAACAGTATGCCACTGCTTCGTTGGCTGAGATTCCCATATCTAACCCCTTGTGATTTTTTCCTATGGGGTTTTTGTTAAAGACAAAGTGTTCATGAATCCATTTCCCAGCAATTGAAGCAGTGGATAACTGGAGGTGCTCAAATCATTGACAAAGGATATTCTAGCACTAGTATGGCAGGAATACCGTAGATATCTGCCATGTCACCGGAGAGGCATGCATGGAATATCCAAATACTTGGATAACTATAATTTCACTATCAAATTGATTTAGTAAAAATAATTACAGCATTCAGAGATATGCTTTTTTTGTCCAATTCAATATGAAACACTGCATATTATCATTTACACTCATGTCCATAAATTAAGGATAATTCGGAGTCACGCAGAAATCGAACTCTAAAATAAATATATCATCTGTAAAATCACTACACACATCTTCAAGAATCATATGCAAATTTCAGAAAGTAACCAGATGACGAGAGTGCAAGAGAGTGATATATAAGGAATACAGGCAAAGTAAAATTGTTTGCAGGTGCTTTATAAGCATTTCAGTGCAATAACCAAATAGTTATGACACAACGGATGCATTTGGATGATTTTTTATGTGGTAGAATTATCGGGCGTCTGGAATGTGGGCACACCCAACTGGAAGTATCAAACGAACTTGGAATTGCCCAGAGTGTCACCTGCAGGCTTTGGCAACGATTCCAAGATAATGGTAATGTGAGTAGACGTTACAGCACAGGTTGCTCCAGAGTTACAACGCCGAATGAGGACCGGTATTTGGCAGTTGCTGACAAACGAAACAGGCGGAGCACAGCCTCAGACCTGTCTTGTCAGCTCTCTTCAGCCACTGATACGA